TCTATTTTTTTTTCACTCACTTGAAAGTATTTCCAGGTAGCCCAGAGTATGTAAAAACATAAGGGACAGGACTGCCTTCTGGAAGCTCAGGGGCCACAGCACACGGGGAGACTGCCAGGGCTCCGTACCTTGGTTTTAGCGCTGTGACTCAAGGTGGTTAGGTTTGGTTGTCTCTGGCTTTTCAGGACCTGGTGTTCTAAAGCCCTAGATTTTTTTATTAACAGAAAGCAGCATTTCCTGGGAGGTGTGCCTGTGCCCACCGTCACTATGACTCGCCCTGTACCATGCAGGCCTGGTACAGCAACTCTGCAGACATCCAAAGGGCTTAGGACCATAGATCTGAAGGTATTAGTGGTCAGGGGCCTTCCTTGGTGTTGTGGCTTAGATATGGTACATAGGATGTCAACACTGGGGAAATGCAGTGGGAAGAGAAGGTACCGTGGTCATTCTCCAGCCATCTGGGGGCGGGGGGGGGGGTATTTTCATCTCCATATGGTGCAGAGGAGGAAAGAAGCTGAAAGGGTAGGCGATTTGCCAAAGGTCGCACATCAACGCACTGGGCCATTCCATCATCTGATCTCAGGATGTCACAAAAGAAACAAAACCTCATGAAGGACTTGGATCCATTCCCGCCATCTCCCCTAGAACAGACAGAGCTAGCAGCAATGCTACTGACCCCCTTACTCTCCTGGGGTGAGAACATCCTCTTAGGTAACAAAAGGCCACTGCTACCTATCCTCTGGGAGTTCCTGGAATCTCTCATTCCTCTTCAAGAGACTCACACCTCACATCTGGTCAATGGCCTGAATATAACATCTTGCTCATATAGTTGTTAGAATATGCTCTGTGAATTGGACTCTGTTCCGGAGGTGTTGTATGGTCTCAGTACAGGATACTGTCTCCCTGTATCTCCATCAGCTGCATGCCCGGAGGCTGACTTTGTCTCCCATTATCCCCCACATCTATGGCCAATACTTCTGCAAACCCTACAGCTAGCACCATGTTCCACATCACTCAGCCAGCTGCCCTCACCTCACATTACACGTTAGTAGCTTCCTCACTCCAGCCTGGGAAGTATGCTAAACTACAGGGGAGCCCAAAGGGTCTCCAAGGCAGAGCCTTCAATGAGAGGCCCCAGCAGCATCACTCACAAATAGTAGGTCTAGGCAAATACTACTGGAAACCAACTTTATGAGCTTACGGGATAAAAAGTATGATGTGAAGTTTCATCGGTGTCTAAAGATGAGGATAGGCAACCCATCTAGCCATGCAGAGATATCTACGAGTTATAAGCAGTAAGCTCTGCAGAAAACGTATGGAAAGGAAGAGATGGAGACTCCTTTGGGCTCCTCACTCCGCCTGGAGAGTCTGAAATACAAAGCCATGTAGATGGGAAACGGGAATAGCAGCTGTTCCGTTCCTAGTGGAAAGAATCGCATCTCCGGACCTGGCATGCTAGCAGATATTACATCTCCACATTTGGCATCAACAAGAGTTGGGGTACACAGTGAAGCCCCTGGGATGATCCCTGAAATGCAGCCAGCCTCATTCTCCAGGCCCAGCCGAGCAGTCAACAATGATAGCCCAGGCCAAGGTAAGGATCGTCTTTCCATCCCGCCAGACCAGTTGCTCTCACGACCCCAGTGGGCTGCACACGGGTGTGGAAAGCAGGCCTTCCAAGTGTCTGCACCAGATCTTAGCAAACATGAAACAGCAGCCCCGTGAACAGGAAACACCCCATCCTTTGCCCTCGTGAACAGATCACACCCTCGAGAGTGTCCAGGATGCCAAAGAGGGGTGACAGAAGCAGAGAAGTCATGTTGGGGTTACACTCTCTTCGTTTATTTGACCTCATATTTATTCATGAGACCGGAGAAGAAAAACCGAAGTGTGCAGTGAAGCCACAGACACATGTACAGAGGAGTATTTGGCAGTGGTTTCTACCCAGCCACAAGTCTGCCAGGAAGCTTCTCTAGAAGGGCTCTGGACAGGCTCAGCAGGCACCTGGATTCTTTGTTTCAATCACAGAAATGTCATGACAGTTCCTTTCTTTCCAATCTGCCAGGCCTCCAAGGGGATGAAGCGGATACATATCCTTCAGCAAGCAGGAAAAAAAAAAAAGTCAACTCCTTGGCAAACTCCTTATCTGCCAATGTCCCTGGCAGACACGCCAAGGTAAGATCTCAGGCCAGTCCATATCAGACTATAGGGCATTTTACCAGTCTGCCCACCCCAGCTAATGATCCTTGCACCGAGAGAGTCAGGTGCACGATGATAGCTGTACATAGGCCCAGGACAGACATAAATATACTTTGGTAAGTTTATTCTGTACACAGTTGCATATGTCAGGCTATATATAGGCTGAGAGGGACAGTCCTCCTCCTAACTTCAGACTCCTCTGGGCATGCCCAGGTCACAGTTATTTCATTTTTAACCAAAGTCCAGCTCAAAGCCAGGCATAGGTCAACCCTGAGTCAAATCTGTGGAATTTGATTCATCAGAGATATTTTTTTAAAGTGCTTAGTGATCGCTTGGCACCAGGGGGCGCTGTGCTCAGGGCTGACACTGTAAAGTTGGTCTAATGCAATTATCTACCTCATCAAGATACCAAATCTGCACAGAAGCACTTGTGAGGGTCAAACGAGGTCATGGTTGTAGCAACCCTGGTACCTGCCCAGCTCGAGAGTGTTACAGTTAAAAAGTATTCAACTGTCTCTAGAACTGAAGGATGGGGTTTAAGCAGCCACCCCAAGCAGTCATTATCAACTTTCCTGAGCCCAAAAGGACTCCATTTTGGAAGGTTCTTTCAAAGTTATCCCTAGTTCCTCACAGGCAAGGATTAGGCTCAGGAATATGAGACCCTAACCCTGGTCAGCATGTAAAGTTTTTTTTGTTGTTTTTGGGTTTTTTTTTTTTTTTTTGGTTTTTGGTTTTTTTTGTTTTTTTTTTTTTGGTTTTTTTTTTGATTGGTTGGTTTTTGTTTTTGAAAGAAGGAAAGGGGGCACCTTCTTGTCAGGGAAGGAAGTCACTTAGCCTGATCGACTACTTTTATGAAAGAGAAGGCTACAAATTGGAGATGGTTCACATCCAGGTTTATCTGGGATCTCTTAGCTGTGGTAGTCCTCAAATCAAGGTGTTTACAGCTACCTGCGCCAATGGTCTTGTAGCTAGCTACCTGGTGACTCACCTGAAACCTAATCTTATCTAGTCCAAAGTTCTTTGCCTCAGAACATAACCAGATTCCCTCTGGAAAGGTTCTCCCTGAAGACCAGACACCCTGGTTCTGAGACAGGGCAGAGGCGATCACCCACAGTGGTTCTCAGGGTACCTGACCACATTCTCAGTACACACAGAAACACGGGCACTTCCCAAGCCATCCTTACTTGGGGCTAACAGGGATGGCTGCAGGTCTTCGAAGAAATCAAAATCTTACTACCATTCTAACCACAGGCCCACCGTTCCAGGGCCTAAGGAGCAGATGCATCTCCTTGCTCTAGGTCTTGGAGTGCTTTCTGGAACCAGCAGATAATGTGTCCCCCACAACCTCATTCAGCGGGGAGTCAGGACCACTGCTCTGGCGGCTCAGCAGTCCCAGGTAAGTTCCCTCACTTGCCCTACTTACCGGTCCTGGTTCAGGGCCAGCTCCTTGGTGAGGAACTCGAAGAAGCGGGAGCTGTGGCTGCGGTTCTGCTCTGCCGTGCCCACAACGCCGATGGAAGAGACCAGAAGCTGGACGCAGGGCTCTGTGGATCCGTTCATCAATAAGGTCATGCCAGGCCTTAACGTCACACTCACGCGCTGCAAGGGGCATAAAAGTTAAAGTCCTAAAGCTTAGGCAGGCCGGCTGGAGTCCGGGAACCGGCAAGCCAAAGTCTTAATGTGGGGGAGTCTGACGGATGAGGGTTTGGGGCACTGGCCTAGGAATCCTGGAAGTTAGACACGGCAGGGTCACACCTGGGAGGGGCGACCAGGAAGGGACCTGGGGAGGGAGGATGGGACACACAAGGTCAGAGGTTAGCAGGCGGGTGGGGTCTCTGGTGATAAGAGTTAGGGTCATTGGGAGATCTGACCCCTAGCCCACAACTTCCGCTCGCCCAGGGCTCCCCGATCCTAGCTCACGTCTTCGGGTTTGTCCAGGATGGCGGCAGTGGCCGAACACAGCCGCTTCTCTAGCCCTGCAGGTATGCGGCTAGCTGGCAAGTTCGTTTCCAACTCAATGAATGGCATGTTGGGGGGCGAGAAGAATCGCAAAGCGGCAACTGTGCGGAGAGAGCCGCCGAGCCCGCTGAGGTTCCAGAAAAGGGACGTGGGGCGGGGCGTTGAGAGGGGGGCGCAGCTAAGCTTCTCATTGGCCGGGCAGCGTCGACAATTCTGGATTGGCTACCTGGGCTACTCCTCTTCTGCAATCACGTGTGCGGGCTCCAAATTACCTAACTCCTAGCTTCAGAGCCTTTGGCCCTCCCAGTCAGCAGGGGGCTCTGTTTCCCTCTGAGCGTCCCAGCTAAACACCCACAACGCATACATTTCTGTAGACTTCACAGCGTTAGGCTGACTTTCTTGAATGATTATGATTATTTCAAATTCAATATGAGAATTACACTTCTTTTGAACAGTCTTGTTCAAAAGGCATCACCTGTGAGTGAGATGTGTTTGGGCGAGACCCTAGGACAAGGGCATCTCCAGTTGGACCTAAAGCTACCTAAGTTTGTAGCCTCTTCTGCGCGTGATGAGTCATTGTCCACTAGAGGGTAGCAGAACCATTTAAAACAAGGCAATCTGGCCGGGCAGTGGTGGTGTACGCCTTTAATCCCAACATTTAATCCCAACATAGGCAGAGGCAGGTGGCGCTCTGAGTTCAAGGCCAGCCTGGTCTACAGAGAGTTTCAGAGAAACCCTGTCTTGAAACCCCCCCCCAAAAGAACTCCCCCACACATACACAAAGGCCATCTAGGTGTACATACTAAAGGAAATGTAAGCAAATGGATTGACTCAACCATCACTCTTGTTCTATTAGCAATTTATTTATTAGGTAATTTGCACAGACCAGAGGTCCTACAGCACAAGATTAAGTAGCCTGACAATTTGGAGTTGGAGTTAGAGGAGCAACAGGAGAGCAGAAGAGGGGCCTGAAGTGAATGCAGCCAGAAAGGTGTGACTTGGAGGGAGGGGCAAGCTTACAAGTTCAATGGTTTATAAAGTTTCAAAGCAAGTATTTCCCCAGGGCTTTGGTGCAGCTCTCTCCAGAGGTCAGGTAAAAGCTGCCATCACAGCACAAGCAGGGTGGGGACACAGAAGGGACACTGATGATGTCTAAAGGAAATTGTGAACCAGAGACTCCACGTCCTAGTGACAGCAACGCGGACAGTCTGCCTCATCTCTTCACTTGCACAGCCCAGTGTCTTCCCTTGATGGCGCCACGGGTTCGGGCCACTCCCTCAATATAACAAAGACTGCACCGAGAGCTTTAGTTTCTCCCTCAAGTCAGGGTCCAAGGGAGGCATATCCTTGGCCTTCAGGACAACTGCGTGGGCCTCCTGGAAGAGGTTCTCCCCCACGGCAGCTTCCACGCGCTTACGCCAGGCATCCAGTTTGGGTCGGCTCTCGAAGATTTTGCAGCCAGCACTGACAGGCTGTGGGGAGGAGTCAAGCAGAGGAAGGGCTAAGTTCCACGGTCTACAAGGCAACATGGCCTGTTTCGGTCTTCTCCCCACTATACTCTCCCCACCGCATTGTCCCTCCTCCACCACGTGTGATGCACCTCTCAATGCCCCCACTGGCAGAAGTTATAAAGATTTACTTGATAATGCTAAGAAACAGTGATGGTCAAAAGCTCAATTATAAATCAGGCATTTTATGCCACCCCCTCCCAAGGTTTAGGAAGGAAATACTGGGGAAGAAGTGGAAAGAATATAAGAGCCGGCAGAAAAGGAAAAGAAGTCCTGTGGAGGGGCTGGAGAGATGGCTCAGCGGTTAAGAGCATTGCCTGCTCTCCCAAAGGTCCTGAATTCAATTCCCAGCAACCACATGGTGGCTCACAACCAACTATAATGAGGTCTGATGCCCTCTCTGGCCTGCAAGCAGACATGTAGGCAGATATTGTATGCATAATAAATGAATAAATATTAAAAAAAAAGAAGTCCTGTGGAACACTGACTTCCAGGAATGGAATGGTATGGCATTTGCATATTATTGGACCCACTAGCATCCTGTCCCAAAGGGACAAGGGACCCTTGGGGTCTCACCCCTCTCTGAGGATAATAGTTGTTGAGAGAGGACATTTTCTTCCGTGGCCACTGGCAAGGTGCCCACGCTTTTGCAAACAAATCCTCACCCATCCTCCTGTGTAAGCAACCTTGATGAAACTCATTGAAAGACAGACAGACAGACACACCAACATGATGGTAGAATGGAAGCTAGTGAGAGACGAGGAGGGGACAAGAGACAGAAAGGGGTAAATCTGATCAAAATACATTATGTACACGCACGAAAGTCATACGAAACCTATTATGTACAATTAATATATGCTAATAAACATTTAAAAAATCACATTATAGATGAAGACTCAGGCTCAGAGGGAAAAGTGACCTATCCAGGCTCCCCCCAGGCCTTGCCATCATCCAGCAGATCGCCCCAGTCCACAGCACTTACATGCATCAGCTCCGTGATGGCCACCAAGTCAGCCATGGAGATATGGGGTCCCGTAAGGAAGGCCTGGTCCCGCAGGAACTTGTCCTCCAGCATCTGCAGGCACCTGTCCAGTTCAGCCAAAGTGGATGCCAACGTCTCTGGGGGCACCAGCTGCCCCAGGTACTTAGGGAACATCATCTGGTGGACCGGCAAAAAGAAACATTTGGCTCTGCCCAACACTCATCTTTTGTCTTGCTCTTACCCATCCCATCCATTTCAGCTCCTAGGGCCTTCCCTTTCCCTTTTCCTGCATCAAGTCATTCCTGGCTCTCAGGACCAAGACCTCAACACAAAGCCCTCCCCGTCCCCCCCCCCCCCGCTCGAGCCGTGTAGCAGCTGCCATCCTGTCCCTATTCCGGATTCCCTTTTACTTCAAGTGGGACTTCTCGAGAGAGACTTGGTAGTTGATACACTGTTGAGGGAGTTTACTGGGCTAAAGCCGGTACTCAAGGCAACTTGCAGGGACCGGTTCTCTCCTTCTACCATGCGGAGCACAGGGATTGAACTCGGGTTGTCAGGCTTGCTGACAACTGCCTTTACACCCACTGAGACAGACCACTGGCCCAAGAACTTTCACTTCAACCCGGAGCACCATCTCTGATGCAGCCTGAGAGGGGACCCTGCCCTTCTGTCCTGTGGCTCACCTTCTGCCACATGGCCCTGGTGCAACAACTCCGGACGGCTGTGTGCTGCCATGACAGGTACTCATCTACACGGGCTCGAGCCTGAAGGTCCTGAGGGTACCAGTGGTCAGGGGCCTTGTACTTCCTACTCAGATAGAGCAGGATGGCCACACTGGAGGGAAGCAGAGGGAAGGAGAACACGCCCCGGTCATTCTTAAGTCACCTTGGTCCATAGCCAGAGTGCCTTGTGCCTGAATTTCCAAGTGCCTTCTTATCCAGCCTGGGAACCCTTTCAAACACCAGGGGGATGGGAATTCTCCTCTGCTCAGGTTCCCCTGAGGCTCTTCCTGCCCACAGGAAAGGTTCAAGTCTTTCTCTATCTCCCAATGCCCCCCCCCCCAACTCCTTCACCCCAGCAGTGCTGACCTCAGTCCCTTCATCCTGTACCCCTGCGTGGTTTAATGTCACGGCCTTTGCCTTTGTCCTTCTGGCCAGAGCACACCTTCCACATACCCGGCACATCCAGACTTCCTGGAAGTTCCTGCTTGCGTCCCACCTCTGCAGCAAGTCGCCCTCCTAACCCCTCACTTGCAATCACACCCCCGACCTGTGTCTCCTCCATCTGTCATGTCATTGCCATGCCTCCCTCCAAAATAAGAGTTCCATGCGGGCCCAGATTATGGTCTGCTCAAGCTCCAAGGATAGACAGTGACCTGGTGCTGCTGGGTGCTCGGCTGAAAGTGACTAAGTCCAACAGGTGAGTCTTTGGCTTCAAGGGAAGCAGCTCCCACTCCCCTGCCCAACCCCAGGATATGTGGTAGATGTGGTATTTGCAGAGCCTGGTATAGCTGCTCTTTGGCACGGTCCATCCTTGGTACAGCCATATCTGATACGATCGGCAAAGGTGATAATGCCAGTCCAGATGCCTGACAAAGCTGAGCCGCATGATGGTCCCTGTGTCACCTTTGGTTTTCATCTCCACCTGTTGTCTTGAGGGACTTTTAATATTTGTACAATTTGGAAATATTGGATTGATGGAAAATTTCTTATGAATCATTTACGTCTTCTCCCAGGACAGTCCTGAACACACTTTGAGGGAGTCAGCCTTATCTAATTGAAAGTCTTCCTTATGCCTTGAAGGTTGTGACATACATAAAAAAGCCAGAGGTCTCTTTATGAGGCTACGAGACATTCTTGAAACATCTGTTCCTATCCCTATGCAGGAACAAGATATTCACAACAAAGTAAACTCAAAAAGGTCAACAAGATTTGGTGGGCTGGAGGAGTTGGCCACAGATCAGATGGTATATATAGTGTGTGTGAAGAGGTTTATATATTTTATATAGCTAAGGTTACCTCTACCTTATAGAGAGACTCATATTGATGGGCAAAGGATGATGTAGAAAGACGATAAAAGAATGAGAGGTCAGGACCTCCCTTTCTTAGAAAAGTTAGCTCACACAGAGCCACTGTGGTGTCATATGGCCAAGGAACCACAGAATGCCAGGACTAATCCTGGCATTTGACATACAGACAAATTCTATAAAGATATAAAATATAAACATTGTATTATTCCAGAATTTGAATAAGAACTTTAGCAGCTTTGGTCTGAGAACTTTTCTTGGGCCCTCTGACCATTAAGAGTTGATAAAACACTGCTTGGGACATGGCAATATGCCCAGGCTGGCTTGGAGATTTTGCTTTGGTCTAGTGTCCTTGTAGCCACAAGAGCTGCCAGCCTGAGAACAGGCTGTCATATGCCCCTAGAGTCTTAAAAATTGGGTCATGGGGTTAATAAGTATGATTTAAAATGATAACTGTTTACCAATGATGTCAAAATGAGGGGAAATGATTGGAAATGATAACTCTGTTCTGCCATTGCTTATTAATGACGACTAAAAGATGAGCAAAAGGTAGTGAGACAATGTGCAAAAACAAAAATGACATGATCTATGTTTTGGAACAACATAAATGTATCCTGCTTACTAAAGTCTGTATAAATAAAGAAGCACTCTGGCTGCTAGTCAGGCAGGCTGCAAGATTCTCCTGACCATCATGGCCTGGATCACTTCCTTCCCTCACCAACTCCTTACCTCCCCTATTGGCACCTGTGTCTCTGTCAGGGATGCACTTCCTCTCTGTCCGTCTCTCCTAAAACAAACTACGAAGTGTTTGATTCCTCCCGTGTTTGATTTCTCCCACTGCTGCTCTTGCATCCATCCATCAAGGAGCTGGGAAGCAGCCTGTCCCCCTCCCCCCATACCCCTGGCTCAGTTTCCCCATCCAAAAAAATGCAGAGGATGGCAGGAATAGCATATCTTCAAAAGCCCTATCTCAGCCCCGGGTACCTATCTGAGTTTCATCCAATTCTACCCCTGGGGCTGACACACAACCCACAGTCCAAGTTGTTGGCAGTGGGCTCAGACAGGTGGCCTGCCTCACACAGCTTGGTTGCGAGCCAGAAACACATTACCTCTCTGCCAAGAGGAAATCCCCATCCTTCAAAGCGGGCACTTTCCTCAAGGGGTTCACCCGGGCAAAGTCATCAGTGTAGTGCTGGCCTGCAGAGAGACCAGACCGGTCAGGAAGAAGACTCCGGGGCTGTCAGTACCCTTCCCTCCCTCCACTCGGGCACGACTTTTCCACACAAAGCCTCAGCGAAGAGGAAGCCACCGTGCTGGACAGTGGATCACAGATATTGATCCTATCGCAAATCCATTTGTTTTCACCTCTGTGTCCACTTGGGTATGGGAACGAGGTGGTTTTGTGCAGTTATGGCCTACAGTCACCTTAGGCAGACACCTAGTCTCATTCCTGGGCTCTGAACCATCTTCCTGTCCCAGGCAAGAACTTGGTGGGTTCTTCTGACCAGACCAGGTGACCTATGCCCACCCCAGAGCTCCAGCCCTCCCTCTTCTCAGTTCTCAGCTCAGCGTGGCTCTTGCCAGGAACAAGTGCCCTATTTAGCCACCTGGCCCCTAGCAGCTCAATTCTTCCTTTTCTGTGCCATGTCTTCAAAACTCTTCCCCACTTGAGGTTCCCAGACCAAACTCATTGCCTCTTTCCTGATCACTGTTGCCTACCCCAGACCGGTTGAACCAGGGGGGGGGGGGCTGCCCAGTCAATATGAGTTGAGTAAGCAGGCATTTGGTGAAGCCAGGAGTCTAGACTCATCTGTGGGCCTCTGTCTCCTTCCACTAAATGGATCCCATCACCTCGGTCCATTCTCCCAAACTGCCTATGTGCAGCCCCTGTCCTGCACAGTAGTCCAAGTTGAAAGTCCCAAAGACTGCCAGTGGGAGGTGTAACATGAGGGGGGCCGGCTTGTTTGTGTTTTTCTGTCCTGCCTGGTACCCCCAGCTGTTTAGTCCCAGAGAAAAAAATCACACTGAGATCTCTATAAGTTATAAAGCTGATTGACCCATTAGGTCAGGCTACTTATTAGCTAACTCTCTCATCTTGATTAATCCATTTTTCTGATCTATTTTAGCCATGTGGCTCAGTACCTTTTTCAGTGGGGCAGCTCACATCCTGCTGCTTCGATGATCTCGACAGGAATGGGAGGAATCAACTTTCTCCTCCCCAGAATTCTCCTGCTCTCCCTGCATCATTTCCACTTCCTGTCTGGTTTTCCCACCTACACCTCCTGCCTGGGCAATCAGCGTTTATTTAAAACATGATTGGCAGAATACAGACAATTCTCCCGCACCACTTCCCCCTCTTTTTTAAAGAAACAAAGGAAAATATTCATAGTCCATTTTTTGAGAATGTGGGCGTAGTATTCCAGGCTTCTTCCAGCTGTTTGGAGGTGCTGATAATCTTATAGGGACCTAAAGAAAAATTTAGAGTTATGATCAAGTCCTGACTGAAGTATCCTGTGAGTCTTGATCATCTCGGGCAGCAGTCTTGAACCTGTTCTGGAGGAAGAACTCAGACATCTGGGCCATCTATTCCTGTCAGAGAGATTTTTCAGGTGTGACCTCCCTTTGTCAAATGGGATTTTTCTTAACTCAGAATAAATCCAGAGCCTCTCATTTTCTGTGGAAACAAAAGCAAAATCTCTTCTCCAAAGTAACATACCTTTTGACTTCAATTTTGAAGCCAAGGTATTTTCAAAATACCTATCTTGGATTAATTCTGCAGCATTTATAAACAAATATCTTTTAGCAGCTGTTGCTCCTTCCTCAGCATTTAAACAATTCAAAGAAAGCATAATAGCATACAGTATCAAGATTCTCTGTGTATTTTCCATCTTTACGTGGCTTTATTTTAACCTCTATTTCTTTTATTTTTACTTTTAACTTTTGGCTTACTGAGACAGGTTCTCTGCATATCTTTGTCCTGGAACTCCCTCTGTAGACCAGGCTATCCTTGAACTCCCAGAGATCTGTCTGTCTCTGCCTCCCAGGCTACTCTTTCTTTTTTTTAACTCTGAGAACTTTAACCTTTAGCCTGTATATATTTTTAACACAATGTAAACCATTTAGAGGTTCTCTTACTCTTTGAATCTCTCTTTACTGTATATATATCTCTCTTTTTCTGACCACATAGGTCTTTAATTTGCTAAGGAATATGGAGAAAACAACAGTCAAAAACTCTTAAGGCATTTCAAGGTCCTTGCCAGGAAGCAAGCTGCAACAGTGTTTCCATAGTCTGGATTGCCTGCTTGAAAGAGTCAGAGTTTTCCCTGGCAGGACTGCCCAGAAAGCCGGCGCAGCTTTTTTCCTGCTAAGGCTGAAAACTGAAATGCTTTACTCTAGTCTTTCCCAAGCTTTCTCAGACTTTCTGCGGATGCAGTTATCTACGTGGGCGCCATTATGTAACATGAAAAGGCCGGGCCTGCTTGTCTAGATTTTCTATCCTGACCAGCCCCCCAGCTGTTTAGTCCCAGAGAAAAATCACACTGAGATCTCTATAAGTTATAATGCTGATTGGCCCATTATCTTGAAAGACCCCCGCCTGGCTGCTTAGCTGCTGTAACGCCATTATAAGCAAGGCTTGAACCAAGAACTGGGGGCTCATAACAAGGTCTTGGAGCTCATAACAAGGGCACAGATGTTATTGTCGAGTCTGCATAACAGGATGCCTGTGGCAGGATGCCTGCGGTTAGACACCAGGAGTTATGCCACCCGCATGAACAAGATTAAGGGGGAGAAATGAAAAGTCCTCAAGCTGTCTAAAAGCCCCCAAACTGTCAGGCACCCAGCAGAAAGCCGACACCTGTCTTAGACATGACCTCATGGCCTCATTAAAATTGACCAATGAGACCCCTGTAACCATGCATCTGCTTCTATACGCTGACTTCTGCTTACCCCAACCCTATATAATCTGTCCCAAAATCCCGCCCGGGGTGCTCAGTTCTCCATGTGACTGCAGCACCCACAGGCCCTGTGTGAACAATAAAAATTGCCTCTTGCTCTTGCATCCAGTGGCTCAGACTCGGTTCTTGGGCGAGAGTCTCTGAGTGTTTAAGACACCCTCTGGGTGGTCTTTCAATCTCTAGTCTCTTACTAGGTCAGGCTTCTTACTGGCTAACTCTCACATCTTGATTAATCCATTTTTCTAATCTATTTTAGCCATGTGGCTCAGTACCTTTTTCAGTGGGGCAGCTCACATCCTGCTGCTTCGGTGATCTGGACAGGAATGGAAGGAATCAACTTCCTCCTCCCCAGAATTCTCCTGCTCTCCCTGTATCATTTCCACTTCCTGTCTGGTTTTCCCACCTACACCTCCTGCCTGGCCAATCAGCGTTTATTTAAAACATGATTGACAGAATACAGACAATTCTCCCACACCACTACATCTGTGGGCCTCTGTCTCCTTTCACTAAATGGATCCCATCACCTCGGTCCATTCTCCCAAACGGCCTATGTGCAGCCCCTGTCCTGTATTCCAAGTTGAAAGTCCCAAAGACTGCCAGTGGGAGGACTCAGCAGAACAATTAAGTTCTAAATTCTCTGCCTGTCATTCCCCCACCCCACCCCACCCCGCATGACCATGTGACCCTGTCCAGTTGTAGTCCTGCCTCCACTGAGTTCTAGCGCAAGGGCTGTTTTTTGTTTTGTTTCAGGCTAACCAGAACAACATCCCAGCTCCAAACAGAGTACTGGCCTCTCCCATTGTCCTTTTACGGAGCCCTCTAGCTGACAGAAAACACCCAGAAAGCAAACTTCTAGAAGGGGAGGTGGCATGCCCAAGCAAGCCTGTAATTCCAGCTGTGTGGGAAACTGAAGGATCCTGGGCTCAGGGTCTAAAAGGGGTAAGAGTGAATGCAACGCCTGGACAACTCAGCAACTCTGTCTCAAAATGACAAGGACAGAGGCCTGGGAGTGTAGCTCAGTGGTGGCTACTGGTTTGGTCCCAGTAGCACCAGGCACGCGCGCGTGAACACACACACACACACACACACACAGGCAAGCAAGCCTGGCTCTTGACTCTGGTGGGTAGGAGACATGCAAGAGTCCTAAGTGAAAGACCACACACCCAAGTAAACCAACTCTTTTCGGCCCCAGAATGCAGAAACGTGAGATGGGGATCCTCCGCATAGAAAATGAGTTAGTTCAGCCTATTTTCTCCCATGACAGGAGGTGGGATTTTCATACCCTGCCCCCCCACACCAGAGGTTCCACGGCGCCTTAGCATATGGTATTTGAAAGGATGTTATTCACCAGGCAAAGGGTCTCTAAAAATTCACAGTTGAGGGGACTAGAGATGTAGGCTACTCTTTCAGAGGACCGGCGTTCAGATCCCAGCACCCACGTCAGGTGGCTGACAATCATCTGTAACTCCAGGTCCGAAGAATTTAAAAAGTCCTCTTTCGGCCTTCCGGGGGACCCGTTCACACACTGTATACATACATAAAACAAACAAATAAGCGCTAAAAGAATCACAGCTCCTAACCGATACAACCGCTTCCTCACGGGAGCAGCAGGCGTTTCCTCTCCCGTTTGCACTCCTGGCCTGACCGTTCGCGGGCTACAATTGGCAGAGGTGCAGCGTACACAAGACTGCAGACTACCCAGCCTGCCAACTCGGCTCACCTTTGAGCAACTCTATGGTACGCAGCTGGAAGGGGATGCTGTTCTTCTTGGCGAAGATGTAGACAGCACGGCAGGGCTGGGACAGGAGGTCCAGGTAGAGCTCCAGGCCCATGATGGAGGCTGTAGGAGCGGCCGGTGGCAAACCTCGGGGACTGACCTTGAGGGAACTGCTCCCAGAGACAGAGCTGGAAGCAGCAACGGGCAAGCAGAAACCGCTGGGTCCAGACCCTCCGAGGGCGTCTTATCCTATACCCGAGCCAGATCGCAGCCTTTCCTCCCATTGGATGCTCATGAGAACTTTGGGCCAACCAGAGGCGGGCTGCGGGTTAGTTCTGCATCGATCAACCTAACTGTGTACCTGGGTGCTCCTCCTCGTACCTCCGTGCTCAGGTCGAATGAGGAACAGAGCACACTAATGGGGAAAGGGACGCGAAGGAAATTCCCATCGCTGAATTTAGGGGCAAAGTGTTGCTGCCCGCAGTTCACTTTCTCTCCCTCCACTCAGGGCTGAGAGAGGAATGGCTTCAGAGATCCTTGATGCGGAAAAGGAGAAAGTTCAACTGCCTTCTCACCCGGTTCCCCGGGCCCAGAAATCAGGACTGGGGTGATGTTTGGCCAAGTGTGCAAAGGTTAGGCCCACAGCCTGCGAGGAAACGACCTGGCCCGCCCCCATTATTATTTAATTCCAGCTAATCCTCTTCTAGAGGCTAGGGGCAGGGAGGATTGCAGATGTGCCTGGGATTGGACAAAACTTCTCCACCCAGTGCAAAAAGCGTTCAATAGCACTCATGGACACCTGAGGCCTATGTGACTACATCTTTTCGCAAGAGAAACTCCCCCGTCTCTCAAATTACAATTTTGGAAAACGTGTCTTGGCAAGACAATAGGTCGCTGGGAAAGCTGAGAACAGCTTCATCTTCCTGGTCCTAAATGTTTCCTGTTAAGGGGAGACCTATCCCACCCCCTGCCCCCAACAAAGTGTCTTCTTGTCACAGTGGAAGCTAGACTGAGGGGGAGGAGCCCCTTCTCCATTTTCCCACGGCTTTCCTTGGGTACTTGCTAGCTCTCCACAAGCTGCCTTTGTCTACCCACCCACCCCCACCCCCTACTATCCAGCCTCTCACAGCTCCTTCTGGGCTGCCTTCTAATCCACTCCCCCATCCCCAACAGCTAGACTGTGATCCCAGAATGCAATCTGAGCCCCACATTCCTGCTGTGGGCTTTTTCTCCTCTTGATCAATTCTGTAGGTCAGGAAAGGCTGATGATTTATGAAGGGGCGATGTCCAAGAGCTGGTCTGGCCAAGTGATGGATTTGCATGCCTGCAGCTAAGGCACCTGCTGATGGCATTCCCCAAGAGCCAGAAGTTTGAAGGGCATTTGTGATTTAGCTTGCTCTGTTTGTTGTTGTTTTGTTTTGTTGTTGAGATAGTCTCACACTGTATCCCAGGTTGGAATCGACGCTCAATGTGTAGCCCAGGCTGGCCTTGAACTCTCTCTCAATGATTCTCTTGCTTCATCCTTCTGAGTGCTGGATTACATGTACGAGTTACCATACCCATCATCTATCTGTGATTTTATTCTCGGCAGCCACGAGGGGTGAGGGGGGCAGGGAGGGGGCGGGGAAGGATCCACAAAGCCTGGAAAATGGAGTTGTCTTTGGGAAAGATAACTGGATCTGAATAGAGGAATGTCAAATAAACAACACAGAGAAGCTAAAGCTCAACTCGAGGCTAGGTTTATTATCCGAACTCAGAAAGTTAAAGCTAGCAATTTAGTTGTGGTCATGTGTGGCTATCGTGGAAAAAGGGAGAAGATGGAGCCTGGTCTAAGAACCATGCTGTGAGGCTTTGAGAACTGCCATGCATCGCGCAGGGAGGAGGGTCTGCCCTCACTGGATCATGGCCAGCACTCGAGGCATCACCTTCTGCTTTATGATGAGGTTGACAGGTGCAGAGTCCTTAACCTTCAGGATGACCTCATTGGCCTCACGGAAGAGCTCCTTTCCCACCACTGTCTCAACTCGATGGTACCAGGCAGCCAACTTGGGATGCCCTTCAAAGACGGGGCAGCCACCACCTATAGGCTTTATCAAGAAGGGAACAGAATGGGGGTGGGTGAGCGTGTGGCCAAGTTTGGGTTGTTCACTTGACATACATGGAAAAGACAGCACTCAACCGAGCAACTGTCTCCATCAGATTGACTTCTAGGATGCCCGCATGGCATTTTCTTGCTTGCTGATTGGTGTGAGAGGGCCTAGCCCACCGCAGATGGTGTCACCCGTGGGAAGATGGGCTTGGGCCATATAAGACAGTGAGCCGAGTGTGATCCTGGAAGCAAGCCAAGTTGCTTCTGTGGTCTCTCTGTTTTCAGTTCCTGACTTCAAGCTCCGTCCTTCCTCCTACCCTGGTTTCCCTTGATGATAGACTAGAATGTATAAACTGAAATAAATTTTTTTCTTCCCCAAGCAGTTTTGATTGGGGGCAGGGGAGCATGTTATTTATCACAGGAACAAAAAAGCAAACCAGAATGAAAACTGGTGACAGAAGTGGGTGTTGCTGTGATGGTCCTGACCATGTTGTTTTTAGGGGAAGGGTTGTGGAAGCATTTGGAACTTTGGGCCAGAAAAGTCGTCAAGTAGTCAGAGGTGAATGGGCTGTTCTAAGGTAGTTTGCAAGAAACAAATGTTGAAAGTAATGCAGATGATGGAGACCCACAGTGAAGAAACTAGATTTTTGTTGTTGTTGTTGTTGCTGTTGTTTGTTTGTTTGCTTTTTGAGAAAGAGTTTCTCCGTGTCACCCTAGCTGTCCTGGAACTTGCTCTGTAGACTAGGCTGGCCTTGAACTCAGAGATCTGCCTGCCTCTGCCTCCCGAGTGCTGGAATTAAAGGCCTGTGCCACCACCCACCTGGTGGTGAGATTTTGGATCTTTAAAGAGAACATGTACTTTTTAAACCATCAGGCGTTTTAAAAGACTATGGGACATTTAAAATTGTTCTGTGCTTTGTGATACTAGATCTTGGGGACAAAGAAATGGAAGGTGACGGTTTAACAATGATGTGTTCATGTGTCAGGCAGACAAGGAGAACACTCACTAGTTAATGTTTTCCCCACTTGACACAAATGTAGATATACCAAGGAAGAACAAATTTCCATTGAGCAATGGTCTCCATCAGATTGACCTGTGGGGATGTCTGTGGGGGTGCTTTCTTGATTGCTAATTGAGGTGGAGGGCTCAGTACACAGTGCATGGTGCCATGCCTGGGTGCTGGGCCTGAGCTGTGTAGTTGTGTAAGAAAGCAAACCACAGGGCACAAGCCACCGGTAAGCAGCATCCCTCCATGATTTCTGCTTCGAGCTCCTGCCTTGAGTATCTGCCTTGGCTTCCCTCCATGCTGCAGTGTAACAAGTAAGCCAAATGAACCCTTTCCTGCCAAAGTGGCTTTTGGGTTAGTGTTTTACACAGCAAGAGAGGAGCAAACTAGAACAGCCAAGGACACACATAAATCTGGAAGGAGTCTCCGGAGACATAGGAACAGATCTATAACTAGCAAGGGTTAGCAAGACCAGGACTTGTGTAACTAGCCAGTACTCCCAGTATCTTCCGGGCCCTCTCCCTTTAGAGCACTCACATGCATCACCTCTGTGATGGCGACCAAGTCAGCCAGGGAGATGTGGGGCCCAACAAGGAAGGCCTTGTCCTGGAGGAACTTGTCCTCGAGCACCCGTAGGTTCACATCCAGTTCCGCCAGTGTAGCTGCCAGCGTCTCAGAAGGAACCTGCTCACCCAGGAAAACGGGGAACATCACCTGATGGGTAGATAGGCAAAGTAAGGAATTGGCGCCTCGGGAGCAGGGAATCAAGTCTCCCAAGTCGGGAGCTGCCTTTGGGGCCTGTGCCCCTTCCTTGGGGACCTGTTCAGACCTGCAGGGAAAGGTCACCCAACTGATTTTTTTGTTTAGAAATAAATTGTCCTGTTTCCACACCTCTGGTTCACTGGGCCTCAGAAAGAATCATTCTTTATGAATGACTGAAATGGGAACCTGAAAAAAATAAATAGAACAAATTATTTTTGAGGAAAGACGAAATTATTTTTGAGGTTAAGAATCACAGTCATGTGCCACACATTGTTGAGAATGAAGTAGTTATTTTGTCTTACAAATATCACATGCTCTCACACCAGGAATAATGTAGGTCAGTCGCTCGGACAGCCTCTTCATACAGCCAAGGGACAAGGTAAACGCGAGATCATATGGAAGCACAGAAGACCCTCACTGAAGCAATCCCAAGCAGAAGAGCAATACTGAAGGTATCACAGTGCCCGGCCTCAAACTAACCTACAGAGCTACAGTAACAAAAGCAGCCGTAAATGCCAATATACGCCAGTGTATAAAATAGAGGACCCAGAAACAGACCCAATGCCAATATATGCCAATGTAATAAAATAGAGGACCCAGAAACAAACCCAATGCCAACATAAGCCAGTGTAATAAAATAGAGGACCCAGAAACAGACCCAATGCCAATATATGCCAATGTAATAAAATAGATAACCCAGAAACAAACCCACACGGCTACAGTCTCCTAACTCCTAACAAAAGGGTTAAAAACATAGGTAGGATAAAAGGACACTACAACAAGCCGTGCTGAGGAAAGCAGATATCCAGTTGTAAACGGATGGAACTAGATCGATAAGTTTTACCCTGTACAAGAAAAAAATTCAACATGGATCAAAGACATTGGCATAATGAAGAGTCAAAGAGTAAGAATAGAAATGTAGAACAAAGATATAGAAATAAAGAAATATAAAGTTGTAAGCCTAGGAGAATGAAAGCAAGCTGTCAGCAGCTTAAGGATTAACTATTAACAGTGGGTTAGTGTGCTTTTTGACCCATAGCTCTGTCTGCAGGGCTGAAGAAGCCCTCTGCAAACTGAGGGTCAGCTTTTAGATACCCCCCCTGGTCACTCATGGCCAGCAATTGACGTGAACTGACTTAACCTGAAAATGATGGGATGCACCTGACTTTTCGGTTGTACATTTTCCCATACCCTTCCCTGCTACACAAAACTGGCATTATCAGGGGGAGTGTAGAGCTTTGGGTAAGTACCAGCAGGAAGTGCCAGAGAGAAGGAATGGGCAAAATACAAACACTAGTTCAACTGAAAAACTCCTCAATGGAAATTGTAAAAAAGGCAATTTGTACCTGAGTTTTACCTCGAGATTGTAAAATTTCTTTTGTTTGTGCCTAACGCCTGCTTCTTGCTATAGAAAGAGGAGCTCGGAAACAGCCCATTGCCACAGGCAAACAAGTCCATCTCTGGCTGCGGGCTCAGCAAGCTGGTAAGCTTCTGTGCCCCACGGAGATTTGATTCTTTTCTTTTTTCCTGGAATAAAGTTTGCTCCTGGTTTACTGGACTTTGGTGGTCTGTCTCCCACCTTTGCGCGACCCCCGTGGACCCAACAATAAGACCTCAGACATTGAAACTGCCAAAGAAAAAGAAAAGAAATATAAGTAAAACACTTGAAGATATAGTCATAGGCAAGGACTTTCTGAGGACTTCGGAAGTATAAGAATAATCCTAAAACTTGACAAAAGCGAAGCAAAGGAAACAATCACTGGAGTAGACGGACAGTCCACAGGATGGAAGAAAATACACCAGACAGAGTGTATGGCTTCTAGATTCTCAACTAATATAACAAACTGCAACAAGGAAACACTAAAACATTCCAGTGGGCAAGTGAACCGAGAACACAGTCCTCCAAAGAAGAACTTCAAAGGGCCAATACGCTTGAAAAGCAGAGCCAGCGGTTGGTCCCATAACCATGCACACACAGGCAGCACCAAGTGGACTCAGTGGGCTTAACGAAAACAAACAAAAAAGTGCATGAATTTGGTAGGGGAAAGTGTTGGGGGGTGGACAGGGGAGGTATTAGAGAGGAGGAAACAACACATTGTATGCATTTATAAATTTCTCAATAAAAAAGAAAGGAACAAAACAGGCTTTTCAACAGCCTTAGCCATCAGAGAAATATATACCGGCTTTGAGAGATCATGTCTCACTGCGGTCAGAACAGCTATCACCAAAATAAACAAACAAATAAGGAAGCACGACAGGGTCTGGGGAGACAGCTCAGTTGGGAAAGTGATTGGCACATGAGCTTGAGAACTGACCAGATCCTCAGCACCCACATAAAAAAGATGGGGGGGGGAGCTCCAGGTCCAGCGAGAGGCCCTGTCTCAGACCATAGGTAGAGTCCCTAGGGAAAGACACTCTACACACATGATCCCGCACATGTAACACACACGTGTGTGTTAAGTGAACTAAAACAAAGAGAAGCCAAATGACCATAATTGCTGGTGGAGATGCTGGGAAAGATTTCTCATACGCTGCTTGTGGGAGCGTAACCTCCTACAGGCATTATGGAAGTCATTATGGAGGCTCCTTAGAAAAGTAAAGACAGAACGAATGCAGGACCCAGCTATACCACGCCTGGTGGGGGGGGGTTATCAGCCACAAGGAAAAATGAAATCATAACATTAGTTAGAAAACAGACGCAATTGAAAATTGTTATTTAAGCAAAATGAGCCAAACTCAGAAATGCAAATATGGTGCACACGTATGTGTGTACGCATGTGTGTGTGTGTGTGTATGTATGCACACCCATGAGTGTTGTTCATAAAAGTAGAACGAGGGCCATGCATGAAGGAGAAGAAATCTTAGGGAAATAGGAGTAAGGAAAAACAGAGTAACAGGATATGCATGACATGAACAAAAAAATTAGTGGGGGTGGGGAACTAAGGGGTGGTGAGATGTCCTGGCAGGTAAAGGCTCTTGCTGCCAAGATTGATGAACTGAGTTCTGTCCCTAAGACCTATATGGCAGGAAAAAGCCAGCTCCCAAAAGCTGTCCTCTGATGTCCACATTTGCACCAAGGCACACACCACCCTCCCACGCACATGCGCACGTACACACACGTACATACGCACATACAAAAGCCACAATAAACAGACAAAAATGTACGTTTTAAGAGCGGGGGTAGGGGATCAACAACGGTAGAGAAGGAAGACAAGGGAGAGCAGTGGAGGAGTGGGTGAGTCAAAGCAAGTAGGTATGGAAAGGCCAGAATAAAAGGTCAGCCTGGTCTACAAGAGCTAGCTCCAGGACAGGCTCCAAAGCTACAGAGAAACCCTGTCTCGAAAAACAAAAACAAAAACAAAAGCCATCGCTTTGTGCACAGGTTAATGGCCAGGTTGGTCACATAAGCTCCAGGATTGAACTTTGAACGGATAGAATTAGATAAGGAAGTTATCTAGTTAGATAAGCCTTACTGCTATTGCCCCACTAGTAGAATTAATCCATAAAATTGATTTTCCCCTGTAGCTTAATCATACCAAACAGCTAATAGCTGAAATGTCATGGAGTCTTGTGGGACATATTTTATTTGACCTAAACCAGAGGTTTGGCTTTGTTTTTATTTTTGAGACAGAGCCTCGTGTAGCCCAGGCTATGAATATAGCTGAGGTTGGCCCTTGAACTCCAGGTCCTTCTGTGTTTCTCTCTGCCTCTACCTCCCAAGAATTTGGTCGGGTATGCGCCACCACATCAAGCTCCAAACTGGGGTCCCTTTTCACCACCAGAAAATAACTCATTTTTAGCTTCTGATGTCCAGTTTTGTGACTCTTGTGTAATTGTCCTAAGAAGTTGTCTCCTCCCCTGTTTCTCTTTTTTAGAGACTGTCATACTATGTAGCCCAGGCTATGCCCACAGTCTTCCTGCCTCCACCTCTCAAGTGCTGGGATTGCAACAGGCACTATCACCGAACTCAGCTAAAACCATCTTTGGAATTATCTCCACGGGGCCAGGACAAAGTCTTGAACATTGAGTCTGGAAGGACAGTACACTCAGCAATATTACTGGTGAAGTGGTTTTCTCTAGCCTCCATGGTATCTAATTTCAAACAATTCAAAACATTTATTTATTTATTTACTTACTTACTTACTTACTTTGGTTTTTCAAGACAGGTAACTATGGAGCCTGTCCTGAAACTTGTTATGTATACCAGGCTGGCCTCGAACTCACAGAGATCCGCCTGCCTCTGCCTCCCGAGTGCTGGAATTAAAGGTGTGTGCCACCACTGCCTGGCCAATCCAAAATCTTAATTGTTGAGAGCTATACTGATCCATCCCAGGCTTTCTCAGGGGCCCTGATGAAAGGAGTAAAGGAACCTAGTTTTGTGTCTTGCCCAGGAGCAGATTTGGCAAGGCCAATCTGGGGCTGGGGACAAGATCTCAAAGGAGTTAAGGTTTCCGTTCCTGGGAACTTGGCTTTTCCCCCACAAAGAGACTGGAGTTATGGGTCCCAAGGATGCTATGTGCTTGATCTGCAATGCTGTTGAGACATCCTGTGTTCCCTTTGTGCAACATCTCTTGATTAGCCTCCTGCTGGCTTCGTCCCATTGTGTGACAGTTTCTGCTGACTCTGCTCTGTTTCTCCCCCGGAAATATTCATACTCCTTAATAAGCTTGCTTGGCAGAAAAGACAGCTTGTACAGGACCTCACAACCCTAGCTTTCCTGTCTTCTTTACTTCCTCATCTCCTGGCCAAATCCTACTTAGAACTGTCACTGAAGAATGACTGGTCCAGGCCACTCAATAGCCAAATCCACAGGCAGCTAAATGGCATCTGCCTGGGTTTTCCTGGTACCGTGAGAGAACACGTTCCCAAAAGGAACGTAAGGAGCCAGGCTCACAGTGCAGGGATACAACCATCATATGGGAAGGTCGTGGCAGCAGGAGCTCCAGGGAGCGGTCACATCGCGTCCACATAGAGTGATGGACGTGCTCAGCTCATATCCGCTCTCCCCTTCCTCACAGTCTTCTGAAGATTTTATTTTTATTTTACGTGTGCGAGTGTTTTCTCCACATCTATGTCTGGGCACCATATATATCTCCAGTGCCCACAGAGGGCACAAGAGGAAATCCGTCAAATTCTCTGGAACTGCAACAGCCATTTGGGTGCCAGGAACCCATCCTGGGGCCTCTGGAAGAGCAGCAAGTGCTCTTGAGCTTTTGCTCCGCGTTTCATTTTCTCTTTTTTAATACAATCCCAGTGCAGGAAACAGCGCTGCCCGCTGTGAGGGAGTCTTCTCATCTCAATCAACCTAGTCAAGACAATCCCCCAGATGTTCCCAGATGTTCTTCTCTCAGAGGATTCTAGATCCTATCAAGTTGACAACCAAGATTAACCATCGTAACAGCTAATGAAACTTTTACACAAAGGCTATTCATGATTTTTTGTTTGTTTGTTTGTTTTGATCTCCACTAAAGTGAGGAAACTACTTTGCTTCTGTAACATTCCCAAATCACAAACAACTCCAAAAGTGTACTCACTTCCTATGTAGAGGTTAGAAAGTTTCCCTTTAACTTGTCAGGCTGAGGGGGAAATGGGCATTGTCTCTCAGGCCTGGATCATTAACGCCAAGAGGTTGCTTCAAAGCCTAACAATGCATGGTCTACACTGTAACTGGCCTAAGACTGATCAATACAGTCAATCCTGCAGGGAATCAACAGTGATCTGTTACAGCCTTAACGTCTGGCTTTAAGGGGAGAGGAAAGAGGGCGGCAGGATTAAGGCAGGTACAAGAGGATAGCGTGGGCACCAGGCAGGGTTGAGATGCAAGCCCAGCACCTGGGAAGCAAGAGTTCTTGCTTTTCTGCTATCAATTATGGGTCACATTTTCCTGGATAGCCTGGGCTACATAGAGTTCATAGTAAAATCCCATCTCCAAAAGCTAAGTGCTGAGGATAGTATAGCTCGGTGTGAGCACATGAATAAGGAGAGAGATAAGGAAAAAGATGACAGGGAGGGGGAGAAGAGAAGAAAGAAATGATGATGGTGATGATGATGATGATGATGATGATGATGATGATGATGATGAAATATTCCTTGGGGCACAGGCTGACCTCAAGCTCACAGCTGTCCTCCTGCCTCAGTCCTGAACACTGGGATTACAGGCTTCTGCCACTATAGCCAGCTCATGAAGGCTCCTTTTTCATAGCCTCTGCCAACTCAATCTGTTTGGCTTTGAGATCAGCAACTCCATGTTCTACAGGATGTATTTCAAAGTACGCAGTTTGGTGTACAAAGCTACAGATGTTCATGTTGCCACGCAACCATCACTGCCATCTGTCTCCATCCTGGTTCCATTAAACGCTAACTCCCCGTTCTGAGCAGGGTGACCTAACTTTCCTCCCCTGGCTCCCTTCAGAGCTCTCACTAAGATATCTGTTGAGGATGGGTTTCAGACTTTGTGGTTAAATATACGGAATTTCTTTCGTGTGTGTGTGTGTGTGTGTGTGTGTGTGTGTGTGTGTGTGTGTGTGTGTGTGAAGGGGTGGGGTGAGGTTTCAAGACAGGGTTTTTCTCTATAGCTTTGGAGCCTGTCCTGGAACTCACTCTGTAGATCAGGCTGGCCTCGAACTCACAGAGATCTGCCTGCCTCTGCCTCCCAAGTGCTGGGATTAAAGGAATGAGCCACCACTGCCTGGCTAAATATATGGAATTTCTAAAAATGAAAAATACTTATCTCCAAAAAAGTACTATTAAATGAGCTTAACAATAACCCAGACACAATCAAAGAAATAATTTAATCCGTGAAATAAAAAATAAGACAGTGGAAAATAGCAGAACTGAAAGGAAGAAATTGATGTCGCCTGAGCGCTTCTCAGCCCCTGCATCATCAGTCTGCTTTTCTATCTTTTTTAAGTGTGCATTGGTGTTTTGCCTGTGTGTATGTCTGTGAGAGTGTGTTGGATCCCCTGGAACAGGGGTTACAGACAGTTGTGAGCTCTCCTGTGGGTGCTGGGAACTGAACTCAGGACCTCTGGAAGAGCAGCCAGTGCTCTTAACCGCTCAGCCATCTCTCCAGACCCAGTCTATTTTCTACGCTTACATTCCAAAGACTTGCTGGAAAGAATTCCAAGATATAGGTGTTCTTTGACTTAAGAAAGAAAGAAAGAAAGAAAGAAAGAAAGAAAGGAAGGAAGGAAGGAAGGAAGGAAGGAAGGAAGGAAGGAAGAAAGAAAGAAAGAAAGAAAGGGAAAAAAGATCCCTTTGTATTATTTTCAGCTGTGCTAGCAGGCAATGTATGGCATGGAACAGTAAGTCATGAAACATGAGAGACAGGAGGGAAATGTGACCTGTAATCAAGAACAGAAAGAACAACCAGTAAAAACAGACCCACAGAGGACCTGGGTGCTGAAATGAGCTGACAAAGGACACACACAAACACACATACACACTCATGCACACACGCGCGCGGGCACACACACACACACACATCCAAGGAGCTGAGGCTTGAACCTAAGACACTGTGCTTGTTACACAGGTATTCTACCACTAAGCTAGCTTACCAGCTAAACTGCAGAGGACATTTAGGTTATGGTAACAGGTAGCTCAGAAGGTGAAAGTCCTAGCTGGGCAAGCCTGACAACCCTAACCATCTCAGTTCAGTCTCCAGAACCCACATAAAAAGCCAGGTGTGGTGTAACCCCAGCTTTTCTACAGCGACATGGAAGGCAGAGACAGGAGAACTGTCCGAGACAGAAGCTCAAAGGTCAGAGGTCAGATATCCTGGAGCACACAGCACAGTGGCAGAGGCCAAGGCCAGTCTGCCTCACCAAAACGGATTTCCCAGAGTTTTCCTCTGACTTCCACACGCACAAGGTGGCCCCTGGGACATATACACAACAAATAAAGTAAGTAACAGTCACAAATAGATTCAAAATTTTCAAATAGAAGATAACCAGAGTGTGTGACAGATGGTAAATTTTGGCTGAGAAATGCAACTCTACAAAAACGACCAAATAGTATTTCTACAAATAAAAAATAAATGTCTCAGGGGCTGGAAGATGGCTCAGGGGTTAAGAGCACTGACTGCTCTTCCAGAGGACCCGGTTCAATTCCCAGCACCCACATGGCTGCTCACAACTGTCTGTAATTCCAGTTCCCAGGGGATCTGATACCCACGGCAAAACACCAATGTGCATAAAATAAAAATAAATACATTTTAAAAAATAATAAAATAAATGTCTCAAGTAAGTAAAGATGGTCTTGAATAACAACCTCGGCACAACAGGATTAGTTAAACTAGAGGCAAGACACTGGGAAACACCAAACTGAAAATGAGTTGCTATAGCCTGAGTCTCTTTGGGGTGACATCTTTACTACCTTCCCTTCCCCCACATTTCCAGTCTCACCTTATGCCACAGGGCCCGGAGGCAGCTTCTCCGAAGGGTTGTATGCTGCCATGCCAGGTACTCATCCACGCGAGCACGGGCCTGCAGGTCTTGGGGGTACCAGTGGTCAGGAACCTTATACTTGTGCGTTAGGTAGAGCAGGATGGCCACACTGTGCAAGCAGAGGAGCAAGGCGGCTAGTCAATCATGGGGTTGATTCAATGCCCAGTACAATCCTTTTTTAAAGATATATCTATATGTGTTTGTGTGTGTGTGTGTGTGTGTGTGTGTGTGTGTGTGTGTATGAGTGCTCTGTCCGCATGTTTGCCTGCATGCCAGAGAAGGCATGCGATCTCATTACAGATGGTTGTGATGCCATGTAGTTTGCTGGGGATTAAACTCAGGCCCTCTAGAAGAGTAGCCAATGCTCTTAACTGCCGAGCCATCTCTCCAGCCCCTACCTTTTCTGATCTTTCTAACAATTTGCCAGTCTGAGCCTCTTTTTCAGAACATGGAAAGTAGGCTCAGAAAATGGATGAGCCTTGTTCCGCAAGGACACCCAGTTCTTAGTCTCAGAACTGAGTCTTCTTTTCCTGAGGTCAACGCTCAAGACAATTCTACCACCGGGCAAAATCTCACCACTGAGTGTGTCCTGACAAGGGTTGAGTTTCTGAGTACAGGGCCCCGCAGCTTCCTGGAGAATAGGCATCCAAGCAGAGCTTTGAGGAAACTTGGTTTTGTTTTATTCTATGTCCACTCTCATCCTTCAGCCTTCAGACAGCCTTAGATGGCCTGGTAGCCCCAAAAGGCTCTCGCAGTTCTCCCTTTGTTCTTTGTGACAGCCTAGGCTAGCCTCAAACCCCAAATCCTCTTGCTTCACCCTCTGGGCAGTGGGCATGAGTCATATACCTGGCCCTCTGTTCCTTGTGGCACTCCTAATGCTAAGGGTCAGGTTGGTTCTTTAAAATCTTACTCAGACACTTGGGGCACTGTAAGATCCTGGAACCACAGTACATAGAAGACAGCCTGAGACTCTCTTCCTGCCTTGGGTTATGCCAACTACTGTGGAGAAGGACTCTGAAGGACACTTGAAAACAGGCCAGTTGTGGTCATATGGAAATTCCATCCGTGCTGCCTGGAAGAAGTTTAGACCAACTGAGTCACTTAGAAAGGGAACTCTCAGCAGTTCTATCCAGACACCGAAGAAGCAAGATGTGCTGCCTCATTGAAAAAGGTTCTGAGCCATGTGGCTTGCATAGATAAGAATAATGGGCTAATATAAGTTATAAGAGTTAATAAGAGGGGGCTGGAGAGATGGCTCAGTGGTTGAAGACTGCTCTTCCAAAGGTCCTGAGTTCTATTCCCAGCAACCACATGGTGACTCACAGCCATCTGTAATGAGGTCTGGTGCCCTCTTCTGGCCTGCAGGCATACACACAGACAGAATATTGTATACATAATAAATAAATATTAAAAAAAGAGTTAATAAGAGGGCTGGAGAGATGGCTCAGCGGTTAAGAGCATTGCCTGCTCTTCCAAAGGTCCTGAGTTCAATTCCCAGCAACCACATGGTGGCTCACAACCATCTGAAATGAGATCTGATGCCTTCTTCTGGCCTGCAGGCAGACACACAGACAGAATATTGTATACATAATAAATAAATAAATAATTTTTAAAAAGAGTTAATAAGAAGCCTGAGCTAGTGGGCCAATCAATTTATAACTTAACTCTCCAGCCTGTTGAGCTGCCTGAAAGCTCTGCAGTGTTTCCCAGGTTCCTAGCCATGCTGGGGTGGTCTTTAGTGATGCAGCTGCCTGTTTTGTAAGAATTCCTTCACCCATACTGCTAGAAGAGACCCCAATAAAACTTGCTAGTTAACCAAGTTGGACTTTGGTGGTGAAGGGACTCTAGCTGGCCTGGAACTGACAAGCATGGTGCTGGTAGGCCTTACCCTTCCCCCTTCCCTTCTCCTTGTAAACCAAGATTACACCCCTAAAGCTAGCCACCAAGGTCTATTCCCTTATTTGGATACTTTCTTGTGCCAGACTCATTCCTGAGGAGGAAGTACCAAATTCCAGCAATCAGAAGCCCCCTTTGATTCACCTAATTAACATGCCCCATCAAGATATCCTACGACATCCTAGCCCACTCTAACATAGACCCCCCAACACCCTTTCTTTGCCTCTTAAAAATTACACCTACAAGGGCATTTGTTGCTGTTTTTCTGCCTGAGTCATAAAGCAAACACTTTAACTTTTCTTCCCTGCTTAGTAAAGGATCTCTCTGTGAAAACAGGTGTTTGGGTGTGTTTTGTACCTAACCCAGGGTCTGGGAGGGCGCCTCCACTGTGTGTGTGTGTGTGTGTGTGTGTGTGTGTGTGTGTGTGCGGGGGAGTCTCCTTCAGGTAATGTCCATATTTTGGTCTATCATGGGCCCCTTATCTGAAGTGAATAGATACATGTAAAATGTCACACAACATACAATTGCAGCACCCAAGAGGAACAGGCAGGCAGAAGACCTGACTGAGCTCTCTAGTGATGAGGGCATGTCTAAGACAGAGACCTATGTCCACAGCCCAGCTTAACGCCTCAGGCTCTTTGTACTAAGTGTTCACATCACCTCTGAGGAGGGCTGCAGGTTCTTCAGAGTCACAGACCTTCCCAGGGTGACGTCAACATGCAGAGGGGACATGCAGAGATGGCAAGCTGTCCCTTGTCTGTCCCTGGTCAGTGCCAATTAGGGTGCAACTCTCTGCAAACTGAAGGGACCTAGGACAGCAGGAGCAACAGGAAGAGAGAATGGCGGTGCCTTTGTTGGACTACGTTGATCATGAGATACCAGAAATGAGCTCAAAAGCATATGCTCTAGGTTTCCCTTGCTGTGGAATTGGTGACTTCAGCAACAACTGAGAAAAAGGTTTAGCTTCTCTGAAGAGGGAAGTCGTACCATCTTGGGACATGCCAGGATATAAAAACATCTTTATCTCATAAGGGAGCCCCAGGGACCCCAGTACTTGAGAGTCCAGGAAGCCCAGATGCTACAGGCCCGGCGGCCATGGTGCGGTAAGTGTCCCATCTTCCCTGACCCAGGGTATTCTAATCAACAACCACAGCCTGGTACAGAAGTCAAGTAGATGTACTATCTTCCCCAAAACCAGCACAGTGAACTTGGGCAGTGGGTGGGCAGGGTCCTGGGTTCCAGCGCTCACTCTGTAGAGTATGAGGCACAGCAGCCCTTGGCCTCGAGGGCAGAGGTTCTCAGCTGCAGGCTGTGGCCCCATTTGGGGTAGAACGACCCTTTCATGGGGGTTGCCTAAGACCATTGGAAATATCAAGTATTTACATGATTATTCATAATAATAATATAATAACCAGTAGCAAAATTACAGTTATGAAGTAGCAATGAAAATAATTTTATGGTCGGGGGTCACCACAGCATGAGGAACTGTATTAAAGGGTCACAGCATTAGGAAGATTGGGAACCATTGCTCTAGGGTTCAAGTGCATGTCTGCATGAGTTTGTGTGCACACAGACACTATGAGGGCAACGGATCCCCAGAAGTGGTGCTATGTATGAATGGCTGTGAGCTGCATCTTATGGGTGCTGGAACCAAATCCAGGTCCTCTGCAAGAGCGGTAGGTGCTCTTAAGCACTGAGCCATCCCTCTAGCTCTAGCTCTATAGTTTATAACAGAGAGGGTTACAACAGGCTGATTCCAGTAAAGATTGACCAAAGCCCCAGCGCCCGTTACCTCTCGCTCAAGGTGAAGTCATTGTCCTTCATGGCTGGTACCTTCTTCACGGGGTTCACCTGGGCGAATGCATCGCTGAGGTGCTCACCTGCAGAAAGTCCAGCATGAGAGGGATGGGAGTAGAACGCTGGACCTCTGATAGCATGGGCCAAGGTTCTAGGACACCAAACACTAAATTCATGGTTCTTCTTGGAACTAGACTGCCAGCTAGATGGGAAGTGCAGGCAGGGCTGCCTTGAGAAGAGGGGAAACAGCCCCTTGCCCTTGATACAAAACAGACTTCACACTCTATTGGCAGGTCCTCCAGGCACTTGCCTCCGAGACAGCCCTGCAAAGTGTTCCCAGTGTCCCCTGAAATCCTGGTCTCTGCTTGAATTAGCCTAGATTCATTTTCTTCCTGTTGATGCAGCCAAGAACGTTTCTATGATTATGTCTTTGCTGCTCAGCCCAACAGACCTCAGTGGTTCCCACTCCCTTGGATCAGGTGGAGGGCTTTCACTCTCCTTCTTTTCCTGGTGGAAATCTGTCTCCCTCTGCACCCTTATTTTTGACAGCCAACTTGAGCAACCCCTTTGTCAGTCCCCCAACCCACAACACCCTACATCAGACCCTGCAGGGGCAGCGCCTGGAGGCGGGGAGGTGAAGTCTCAGTCGGAGAGACAAGCCGTGGGGATACCACAGCGACTTAAGCAGCCATTCTGCTACAACCCTGTCTTGCTGGGTTTGGGGCTCCCTCAAAGGCCAGCAGGGAGGAGGCTGCTGGACCTGTTGAAACCGAATAGCAAGCAGACCCGGCCGTCTATTCCACGGAACAGCAGAGTTTGCGGGGTCTCCCTGGTGGCTCTTTTCTCACTTGTGCTCTAAACACCACAAAAAAAAAAAAAAAAAAAAAAAACTAGGAAGGGGGCGGTGCAGAAAGGAATCCCCTAAGCTGGGCTTGCCTCCCCATCTCTCAGCTCTCCAAAGCCGAGGCCCTGCCCACCCTTGCGCAGATCCACCGTATGCATCTGGAACGGGATGCCGTTTTTCTTGGCGAAGATATAAATGGCGCGACAGGGCTGGGACAGCAGGTCCAGATAGAGCTCCAGGACCATGGCGCAGGCGGCAGGAACCAATTCAGTAACTGGCCAAACTCTGAAAAAAACAAAACAAAACAAAACCCAGGCTAGACTTCTGAAGTTGCGTCAAGGCTTAATGTGGCCACGCCTCCACTGGGCCGATCCTGAAATCTGGCCCTTCTTTCTAAAGGGGAACCGACCTGAGCTTGTGTTCCAAGAGAAAGGCACTAAAATCTAGCATGGGTGAGACAGAAAAGACTGCTGACCTCTCTCTCCTGAGAGGGCAGAGGAAGTGCACAGGGGCCGGCACCTAGTCCTTCTGTGACAGCTTTATTTGATGGCAAAATTTCTTCAAAGGCATCCTCGCCCTGTCTAGTGTGTTAGAATTTCCAATCGTCCCCGTTTCCCAAATGGGAAAACTAAGGTATTGCTTGATAGACACAAAAAGTCTACCCCCAGCAGGTTCCTCTAGGCCTACAAACCAAAGATATGGATGCCAGCAAGCAGCAAAGGTTCTGGCTCTGCTCAGTACGCCGTGGTCGCTAGTGACATTCCAATCGCGTCCTTGGCATTCCACAAGGTTAGCCTTCCTGTTCATGAGAACGCTGGGTTCTCCATTCCTCGAGCATCTTAGCCCCCTTTGCACACTGATAGCAAAGTGCCTTGGATATAGTTTTTGAACAGGGCAGACTCCGTGTCTAGCGAAGGCTAGCTCTCTGCTTTACGGTGGGCAAGTCTTTGCTACCTGCACACACAGTGGAAGGTTCCCCAGATACAGGTTCCCCAGATATAATCCCTTCCCCACAAGGCCCTACCTCTTAATACTATTTCCAGCAAATTAGTTTAGGCGTAGCATCACTATTCAAACCGTCACACTGGATTTGTGTCTTCCTTCCTTTCAGCCTCAGTTTCTCCATCTTTAAAATGACTATAGCCCTTGAACGCCCAGCACTCTGGACTCTTCTGCTGAGCCAAAAACTCTTGGTCTGCACCTTGTTGTTAAAGTCCAACCTCCTCCCCAGAGCTTACCTCCTAACTGGGCAAAGGATATCAGTGTTGCCCGCTATCTTAAGACAAGCCCAGGTGACATTGTCAGCAGGAGCATAGCATAATTTGCTATAACATAAAGAACGTTTCTCCTAGGATGAAAGGATGACTCGTTTGTGGCTGCTGCAGAGGACCAGAGTTCAGCTCTCGGCACTCATATTGGGTGGCTCACAACACACTAAAATTCCAGTTTCAAGTGATCTGATGTTGTCTGGCCTCTTGCAGGTACCAGCAGGCACATGAGCAAACACACACCCACACCCACACCCACATATACTGTTATGCCCAAATCTGCGAAGTACCTGCAAAAGCCAATAAGGAGACCAAGTCCTGTATGTAAAAGCAAAGGAAGAGCCTTTTATTTTAAGCAAGTTTGCAGACTCGGTCTCTCCGCATGTCCAACATATTAGAATAAACGGAGAGTCCTGAGGTCAATTAGAATAGTAGTAAAGGTGGGGATGAGGGGTTTTTGAGGTTTTAGGACTCCTGATTGGCTGACATTTGTCTAGGGGTGTCCCGGTGAGTATGTGCTGGAGGGGGTCCTATCTACAGCTGTTGGAATGTTAGGCATTTCCTTTGAATGGTCCATTCTTGGGTGGAGGTCGGATAATCTCAGCTTGTGGTTCTTCCTGCAACCAGGTATTGCTTTGCTTCAGGGTAAACTACTGAGACTCAGGCCTCTATTTAAATCTGGCAGGTGATAATGGTTGGAAGCAAAGAACTTCCTTTGGGTGACCTGCCCATACTTAGCTTATCACGACTGGCTCCCATATTTCCCTCTTCACAAGCACCGATGACAGCATCCAATCTTGGGTCCTGCTTGCCCCTGGTTTTAAGGAGGCATGGAACTATTTAAATTAATAAATCTATTAATTGACAACTCTTGACCCAGTATTTTAACAGGCACTGTAGCTAGTTATCTTGCCCCCCATGCCAGGGAGTTCCCCCTTGTCTCACCCTTTCAACCTATTTTGGGCAGGGAGCATGGGATGGCATGTTCCTTTCCGCTTCTACTTCAAGCTGTTATTGGGGCGTTGTTATCCAGGCCCAAGTAGGTTGAAAGGCTAGCCAAAGGTAGGGAAGAAATTCAGGCAGCGGGGCACTCATCAGTGTAGGACCTTCATCTCTTATTCTCAAAGGAACAAGATGTTTCCCAGCAAAGTGTTTTAAAATTAGAAACCCAGACTAGCTTAGACTAGTAGCTTCATTTTCCCAGGAAGATAATGGCCTTCCATCCCCACCGCCCCCCCTCCCGAAAATTCCTAAGTGCCAGGACACTCGGCCATTCTGGTGATAAAACACTCAGCCACCTAAACAAAGAGGAGTAGTCTGGCTCTAAGAACAAAGGGTAGGGCAAGAAGATCTTGCACTCCTGCCAAATCAGCTCTGAAGGACTTGCTTGTAGCTTTACCTTTAAAAGACTAACCCCTCAGGAGGATAGTTCCTCCACCCTTGCTGCATAGAAGGATATTTTTGGACTATCTCCCAATTGCAATTCGAGCTATGCTAATTAGCAACAATAAACCTTGATTTTACAGTCTGGTCTTCTCCCGTTTCTGGTGGCCTCTCTGTGGGGGTAAGAGAGAGTCTGGGTGCAACAATCAGACTCCATTGAAGAGACAGGGAGCATTCATGTTCAAATCAGCTGGACTGGTCCACATCAGCTTTCAGGAAGTCCAGGGCTCGCCACCATTTAGAGCAGGTTGTAGTCAGCAACTGATGCTTAGATGTGTCTGCCAGCCAACTGGAAGTTTAAACTAAGTTTAAACTAGGACAGAAGTTAAAATCTATTTACTTAAAGAAAAACACATATTGTAGAAAAAGAGCAGACAATGGGTATCTATCTGTAAACAGAAGGAATAGACTCATACCTTTGGGTCCTAGCAAAAACTACAGATTTTGGTTAGAAGCATGTATGTTTTTCTGCTGTCCAGAGAACCATGTGTGGTTTGGACAGAGATGTCTTTGGCCTAATGAGAAACACCTTCAAGTTTTTATTTAAATGGCAACCAGAATAGATCTAAAATCTTGAGCTTGTGACCCATACAGTAAGTAGTCATTGCTCTATTAGAACTACCATGGGGGGGTGGATTAGAAACATTTTTAATATCTTCTTAAGTCATTTTTTTAGGCCCTCAAAGCTTTTGAACTTTTATACTTTCAGACCTTAAAGCATTTTTTTTGAGCTAACAAGTTGACCGTAGCTGTGTGGGAGGATCTGGATGACTTTTGCTGCTAAACTGACATTATAACTTTTTTTCCCCCCTCACAAATCCCAATGACAGGACTCAATCGTGGGTCCTGTCTGCTTAGGGGCTCAAGGGGGTGATACTGGGTCCACAATACCATCAGTTAGACAGTATTGACCTGTTCTCAAACAAAAGCCATCAGTCCATTGATGAGACGGCTGAGGGTAAGTAGCAGGAACATGATCATTAGGGTCCTGTTAGGACTGACAGAAGATGGTTAACCAGGGAAACCGGTCGAACAAGTTTCCGTGCCAGTCAGCTTCCACGTGAGCGTGAGTGGTCTGTTCCCCATCATTAATCTGTTTTCTTAACAAGGTCATTGAATCTCTAACTACCCCAGAGTCATTAATTAATGTAGAAACAAAATTCTTCCCCCAGGGCGACACATAGGCCTCCCTGTTGCGCTAAGAAGAGCTCCAAACCTCACTGGTTCTGTAAGGCAATCTCAGCCAGGGAATCTAAAGAGGTCTCTAATTTGAGTATAGACTGTTCTATGTTTTTGAGATCCGAATTGATGGCTGACTGTAGGGCCTGGTAGGTTTTATCTTGGAGGATTAACTCCAAGGTGCACATCCCTGTTGCTCCAATTATCCCAATCCTATCAGGGAAGAGAGCAATACAACTGTTGCTCCTATAGCCCGTTTTCTTCCTGACAGGAACAGGGGATAAGGTCCATTTGGGTCTCTGTACAGTATTTTATGTTGGGGAACAATTGGAGCATCACACAAAAACCTTGTCCTGTGTTAAGGACTGTCCCACGGATGCAGGGAGTGAAGTGCAGGTCTGCCACCCAGCAGATGCCGAATAGAGGGTGTCATTTTGTATAGTGATGGTCTGGTTACGTAGACCTGCTGGGGCCTGACTTCAGGGGCACTATACAGGTCCCCGTACCTGTCTGCTGTTGTAGCAAAATTTTTCCTTGGTTTTATCAAGGGCAGACTTTTGGGGAGACTGAGGTTGAAAGACCTGGATAAATCCAAGACCCCCCCCCCCC